CTCTTATTTGTCAGATGTCATGATTTACACACAGCTTCTGAGTTGGCCTGGTGAATTTTGTAGCTTGTCTGGAAGAGAGGGTGCAGGAGCAAGACATTGGAAATCTCCTTTTTAAACCTTGAAAAATGGTCAGTTGCCATAGGTTGAATACTGAATAATGGCTGATGCAGCCTCTTACCGAATCCGTGGTTGGAGCATGTTTTGAAGAATTAAATGTATCTTCTACAGCTGTGCAAAATTTCCTTGGATCAGTGGTAGAAGCTGCTTCTAGATCAGGGAGAAACTGTTTCCTGTCAGGTCCCTGTGTATAGAATCTTTTTGTGTGTACCTATGGGAGAGTAGATCTAAGGGAACTGTAATGTAGCTTAGCATAGTAACCTTGACATTTCCATGAGTAAGACTACCTTCAGGTGTGCTGGTTCTATATAAATTCATCTATCGTATGAAGGTGGCTGCATCTAGGATAAAATGGTACTTTTTTTTTTTTTAAATGCACTAACCTATTTTGTCTGAGATTGGTTAACAATCTGCAGTTTGAGCTTGTAGCAGCCAGCACCGAAAGTTGAATAGTTCCAATGTTTTTCCTTATCAGCCAGGCACTTGGATGTCACTAAGCAGTCTCTTTACTCTCCTTACAATGTCTGACTTGATGCAATTGGAAACCAAAATGTTTTGTTAGCTAACATTGCATGATGGGATATAAAGAAGCAGGAGAGAGCTTTTTCTTTTTAGGATAGTAGCCTAAAATCCAGTACCAAATGATAAGTGAATTACATGTGATGTGCTAACTCTTCCTTCTCTTATTTTAGGGTGTAGTTGGAGGAGTCATGATAGTAACTCCAAACAATATCATGTTTGACCCACATAAGTCTGATCCTCTGGTAATTGAGAATGGCTGTGAAGAATATGGGCTTATCTGCCCCATGGAGGAGGTTGTCTCAATAGCGCTCTACAATGACATCTCTCACATGAAGATTAAAGATGCATTGCCATCGTAAGGAGTGTTCTTCCCTGAACTTATGTTTACAGATTTTCAGTGAGGGTCATGGAAGAGGAGCAGGGGGAGTGGAGGGAAAGCATTTTAATGCAGCAGAATAAAACAAATCAGAGAAGGAAAGTGCCAGCAAAGGAATGATACACTTGTATTGTTGTTCTGCTTTCTTTTTAGAACACTTCAGTGGCAGTAAACAGAAATGGGTTATGAATATGAGAATCAAAGTGCAAAGGAGACCAGTAAAAATCAGTAATTAACAGCACTGGTGGCATGCCATGGTTGGGCTCTTCCACTGACCCATCTCTGGGGTTATTTCAGTGGAAGAGGGTTAAATCTGGACCATTTGTTGTATTACTAGGACTGAGAGGAGTATTTAAAACTTTTGAAGATAACAGCACCTTAACTGCTATCTCCAGTACTTACAGAAATACCAGTCTGTGAAATACTTCCATTTCATAATCAGAAATGCATTGATAGTTTGCATTTATAATACATAATAGACTTTCTGGGATGGGCTACTTTAATTTATGCATAGTCTAGGCACTGCTTATGTATTTATTTGAAGCAAGGTTTTGTCCTTACAGGCAACACCTGTTTGATCAGTGAAATTCATCTACTTCCCTCCATTTTCTCATTTAAAGAAAAACTTTCCAGATATTTGTTGTGCTCATAACTAGAGTGTCTAGTAACTTCGTATTAACTTTTAAGTGATGAGAATCTTGTATTCTTATTCACCTCAGACTTCTTGACAGTAATGAAGAGCTCAAGTTGTACGCTGTTAAGTTTGTAAGAATTTTCCATTTTTAAATGTTTTACAATTGTCCTGCTTTAAAAAGAAATCTTTGAGGAAGTCTGCATTCAAACAGTACATTTGAGTAATGGAGAAAAATAAAAGGAAAAAAAAAAACCAACTCTGCCTTTTGCAGTGAACACGTTCAAATGGGGTACGGCTTATCACTGATTTGCCGCCTTCTCAAAAATACATTTGTACTGACTAGGGAAGCATGGATGGGTGTAGAGGTTGACTCATTGTGACGTCTCGGAAACAATGGTATTAATATGGTATGAATGAAATTCCAGCAGCTAAATACATGTCCTATGGTTTGTTGGTTACTGAATTTCTGATGACTTGCACATCGTTATTACATGTGTACTGTTTCTTCACCCATGTGGCATATTCTGCCAAGTGGATTACTCATTTTATTTCAGTATTATCCTTTACACATTTTCCTTCATTTTCTTTAAAGTCACTTATTTCCACTGATGTATGTTTATTTTGGAGAAAGTAATTTTTCATTGAGTTTCAGAGCTTAAGTTTAGTTGGCATATTATTTATTTTTTTCTTTTCCGTTTTTTTTCTGTTTCCATTTTGCTTTTAACATCCTATGTACATCCATCATTTTCCCTGACAGTGACATACCAAAGGATCTTTGTCCTCTGTACAGGCCAGGAGAATGGGAAGACCTATCCTCTGAGAAAGATATCAATCCTTTCAGCAAATTCAAATCCCTTAGCAAGGAAAAGAGGCAGCAGAATGGGGATCCATCCATTGCTGTGGGTGCCAAACAGATAAAGCCTTCAGATAAGGAAAAGTCTGCTGATTTTGAGGTTCTTCAGTCATCTGAGAGTACAGGCTCAGTCAAGTCAAAGTCACTGGAGTTTCCGAACAACATCACTGCCACTGAACATTTGGAAAAGTTTGCTGTGGATCCGTGTGCTAAGGAGCCTTCTGGGGGAAAAAATGCTTCAGACGTCAAAACCAGAGAAAAATCCCTTTTGGGAGAAGGAGAGGATGACTTCACTGAGCTGGAAAAGACATCATCTCGTATGGATAGAGGGTTGGACAGGAAAATCTCAGTAATGGAAGGCTTGCTGGCTGACCCCAGGGAGTTGGGGAGAACTAAGCAGCAGGTAACCAAACCCACTACAGAAGTCCAGGAGCACTTGACAGTTGATTCCTTGGAAAAAAAGGACAGTGTTGAACCTAAAGCTGACTTAGACTTAGAGCTGTGTGAAAAGCAAGATGTTATTCCAGAAGTAAACAAATGTGTCAGTTCCCCGACAGGTAAGGTGGAGACTGCATTGGACACTAAGAAAGAGCTAGAGAAAGATAAACTTATTGAATTTTACCTCAATAAAGATGGGAATGGGTCTCAGTCATCTGAAGACTTACACAAGGCTGAAATCCAGAAAGGTGAAAACAATAAAGCAATTGGCATAGACCTTACACTTAGCTGTTCAAAGTCCCACGCTAATGAAGTCCATACAGTTAAAAGTATGGAGCTTGATTCCTGAAGGAAAGCACCTTCATTAGAAATCAGCTCAGCAGCAGCAGAGGAAAAGGATCTGAAAGAGTCTGTGGACTCTTCATTAGTACCAGCTATAGACAAGACCTGTCAAGAAACACAGTTAGACAATCAATCAGAAATCAGACTGTGGCTGCTGCAGAAAATTCAAGTGCCAATTGAAGGTAGGTCTCTGGTTATCCTTGTTTCCTCTGAGACTTGGACAGCATTATGACGGTAACCTTTGAATTGATAGCCTTCTGCTCTAAATTTCCTCTTTCTATAATACTTGTTTGGTTTTTTTTACTCTTGTATATTATATTTTTATATTATCTGCTATTTAGAAGTAAAAAATACCTTCAAATTCCCTAAGCTTCTAGCTTGATAAGTAGCTTGTGTGCTCTTTCCGTATTCAGTGATCGCTCTTTACATAATCTTCACCTGTGTTTACTGGCTTTAAGGAGGACAGTGAATTTCATCCAGTTGCAGTACTGACAGGGATACTTCATGGCCTAAGAAATTGTCACTTTGTGTTGGTAACTTCTTCAGTGAAGCCTGTCAGTGTGTTTCTGATAGTATCCAAAGTAGTAGTGCATTGCTGTAAAGGGGGGGTACCAAAGTATTCTTGATGCTATTTGCATGTCTAGTGTCTTTCGTGCTATGGAAACCTGTAAAGAAGTGACAAATAGAAATATATGTAGAGTCCTACTGACCGATCATTTTGTCCTGGTTGGTCATTGGGTTATTATAAATAAAATTCAGGCTGTTACTGGAAAGGATATAACAAAATGAAATCTCAGTTTAGATAGTGTGTACGCATATTACTATTTCTACTACAGCCCAGTGCCTCTAAGCACTAGTCCATTCTGGAGTGCTGATGCTCCTGTCTTGGTAGTTTAATGAACCAGTGGACATACCCTTGATTCATATCAGGTGGGGGGGATGATTAGAGTGGAAGTCTTTATTTTAAAAACAGTTCTTCTTAAAATTATTTTTCCTTTCGGAAGAGTTTATCTCTCGCTAGTCATATTTGGTGATTGCTCTCATTGGGAGAGAAAAAGAAAAAGTGGCTGTATGTGTACTCCTAAAATGAATGAGGCAACTTCATTGCGATTGAGGCTATAGTTCAGTAAATAAACTTTTTTGTTGCACTGGCAATTTAATGAACTTAAACTGCTCTTACGCTTGACCCTGTCTTGTGCAGACAAAATATGTTTGTACGGCTGTCGCACCATCTGAGTTGAGGAACTGATCGGGCTCTGTGTCTATGTGTGCAGGGTTACCCGTTGACTGGATGTGTTTCCTGGGCCCAGTCAAACACTGTCCCCTTTGCTTGCCAGCTTAATGTTACAGTTTGCACCCAGCCTAGTCATCTTACTGATTTGTTTTACAGGGCTATTCTGTACATATCTGTACAGCTGAGGGGGATACAGGCTGTGACAAAATGGGAATAAATGTCCACAGTTTAGGATGAACAAGGATTTATTAAACCAGTTTTGCTATTGAATGACATGTCAGGTTTAATTCTGTGTACAGTGCCTCTGAGTATTCCTTTGAGATTATTAATCTTTGTGACAGTGTTTTATCAGCTGCAGTATTTGTACTTTCCTGTAAGCAGCCCCTTTTTGTGTCTCATTCAGATATGCTTCCTTCAAAAGAGGAGAAGAGCAAGACTCCTCCAATGTTTCTGTGCATTAAAGTAGGCAAGCCCATGAGAAAGTCCTTTGCGTCTCAGAGCACCACCATGTCTCAACAGTACAGTAAAAAAATAAAGCAACCAGAGTACTGGTTTGCTGTTCCTCGGGAAAGGTAAGCTGCAGTGCATAGTACGAAAACATGTTTGTCTCTTATTTTTTTAAATGTGTAGTGCTTTCTAGAGTTGAATCTGACTTTCCTTACATGGTCCAAGGTGTGAAATGCAGCAAGCATGCTGAGATGAGGAGGGGGGTGCCCTTGTTTCATTGCATGCCAGAGAGGTAAAGCAGTGTTTGTTGCTCGTCTAATATGGCTCCCAGTGGGAAGGAAGAAGGGATCAGGTGCCACTTGGAAGATGAAAAGAGGGATATACGTGCAGCTAACGTGATAAAAACACTGGGGGATGATCTGGGTTTCATCCATAGTCTAGGAAGTGAGGGAAAGGGAAAAAGGGGAGCAGTGGCAAGAGAGGCAAGGAATCCACTAAGGTGCCAGTGCGAAAAAATAGGTATTTCACACTGAGTAAAGGGCATCATGTGGAAAAGGGAGACACTCCTAAATGAATGGGTGTGGTTATTTCTGCCTTCAGGCCCATAAAAAACATCCGTTCCTTCATGATAAAATCAATTTAAATGTTTTATGTGCCTGTAGGTGTGTATGTATGCATAAATAGTACTATAGCAAAAAAAAAAAAAAAAAAGTGAAGGCCTGTGATATTCCACATAAATCACCCATGAATATTCACTGGCTGTGAGGAATCAAATCCCTGGTCCTTCTCTTGCTAGAAGGCAGCAAGAGCAATCTCAGAGGTGTCTCTTTAAGGTGCAGTCAATTTTTTTCTTTTTTCTAATAACTTTTCAGAATATTTAATTTTATTTTCAAATTTGTAGCATATGTGTTGATTTAAGTGTTTATTTCTTGTATTTTAGAAATGAGTGTTTTGACCAGACCAGTAGTATGGAAGTTGCTGACCCAGGGGAGTAGGGCAAGAGGTTTAATCCAGCTGGAATGTGGCTATTGGGAGTGTAACTGAAGATAGCTTTTAGTTTGCTTGCTATCTTCTGAACCCAGTCCTTGGCTCCTCAGGGATTGCAAAAGGGTGGGTTCAGGAAATTCTAGGTTGAAGTGTGAGTAAATATTTCAAGGAGTTGGAGTGATGCTGTAATATAACACAAGGTCAGTTATTGCTTTGGGGATAGTGTATCTAATGTTGAATAGAGCTGCTGAGCTGAACTGAGGTCATCTCCGATGGTTGTTCTGTGCAACAGGTAAATCTGTTAAGCTTCTTACCACAAACTTGGAAAACAGCTTCTTGTCATTTTATGAGCAGAACTCTTCTGATTAGTAAGGGGACCTAATCCATATATAAACTGAAGCGTTGACAACTGGTTTATACTTAAGTTTTTAGAATGAGGAAAAAGTAATTTCTGCAGTGAGCTGTTGGCAGCAGCACTTGGCTGTGCTGGCTGACAGGCCAGATCTTCGCTGTCAGGGCTGCTGTTCAGATCTTGATCAAAATTAGTGGTGAATGTAGTATAAGATTGGGTCATTTCGGTGCTATTCATGCATGCCTGTTTCAACACCACAGAGGTGCATGAAAGATCATGTAGAACTTGGGGCAAAAATTAAATGCGAGACCTACTCCTTCGTATTAATGCCTAACAAGCCAGTGTTTTCTCCAAACTCTCGGATACCTTCCCAAAGCAAAATGCATCGCTTCCTACCCGCTGGTGATATTCTTGGACCAGTATTGCATAGTATATAATTATCAGTGTTGCATCTTGAGTACTGTGGACACTAGGGCATTTGGGATAGCTTTGCATTGTATTTTTGATATAATGTATCAAAATAATTTCCTAAGTTTGAAAACATTTGGAATACAATTTATATTCATGTATGAAAATATCAAGAATACCACTCTCATCTCATTAGCCATAAAGCAGCATAAATAAAACACTTTCTGTCCAGTACAGTCACAATAGCTCGTGCAGCATCTTAATGTTTTCTAGAAATTAAAAACAAAACCACAAAAACCCAACCAAAACAAACAAACCTGAATTGAGATTGTGAAAAAATTGGTTTGCATGCCTATAAACACTATATAAGTTAAATCTTCCTCTGATTTGCATTTAATTACATTTTTCCATGATCTCTTAGTGTTTGCTGTTAAAACAGCTTCTGTCATCAGTTGTGAGAATGGCTTCATTTTCAGCCTGGGCCCCGTAGTCCACCACTCCCAGCAGAGCTGCTCATCCATCTGCAGACTGCTGCTGCTTTCCTGGCCTTGGCAGGTTGCGGGAAAGCTGCACTGGGGGGCAGACGTACTTACCTTTTAAAATTTTTTAATTTTTTTCTTTTTTTTTTTTTTTTTCCTTTGGTTTTAATGGAAGCCTCTGGAAACATCATTAATACAGAGGGAAGACTGTTAGGCTGATACTCTTTATAAAAGCTGGCAATGAGTCTTAAGTCTTGCTTGCCTTTTGCAGCTGTTGTAGGTTTTCTCTCTTTCTATGTGACTTCCCAGGTGCATGAGAGTGTCCTGGTGTGCGTCACCCTGTGACCAGCACAGCGCAGCTGAGTTAATCAGTGACTATGGGGCTGCTTTGCACTGCCCGCTTGATCACAGTCGTGCTCGCCTTGACACGTAAGAGGGGAGATGGACACCTTGAGTTGCCTTATATACAGATTACTACAGATTACTCAGTCTAGGGCAGCTTCTTGTCAGGTTCAGCTGAGCAGAGAGGCACCCATGTTTTTGGACACTAATAGAGAGATTGATTCTTTTGCTAAGAAGCCTTGCAATGGGTATCACTTACAGTATTAAAGGGTAAGTCTGTGCATGCTCTTACTACATTGATTTATGTTTAAATGGTATGTAGATTTTCCACCCTACTGGAATTTGAGTAGTAGTAGGTCAGTAATTATGTCACAGATTTCCTCAAGGTCTTGCAGCGTAAAATGCCTTGCACTGGGACAGAGATAGTAATCTAGAATTTCTTTGTCTATAAACATGTGTCCTAACAAATAATTTCCTCATTTTAGCATTGACTAGTTCCTCAGTCAAGAAGTAAATCTTGCTGATTGTCTATAATATCAATTTGGCAGACAGGTTTGGTTTATGAATGTATAATTTGTATTGATGTTGATGTAAAAGACATTGCACTGAGATCATGCTGCTCAGAGGGCATCTGCTTTTTTTGAAGTTTCTTTTTTGAGAGCAGGCATATTTTTAGGGAGGAAAAGTAACAGGGGTTGAGCCTTGCTTCTCTTTTTCAGTCTTAGCTTCCTGCTCCATTGATATTTTTTGTTTGTTTTGGGGAGTTGGGTGAGTTTTGGTTTGGTTTTTGTTACCGTTTCTGTAGGGTTTCCTTTTGTAGAACAAGATGTCACTTGGTTGTGACTCCTGTTAGTATCTAGTACGTAACACCCTGTAGTAAATACGGTTGAAGCTGAGATCTGGAAGAACTTGCAGCACAACTAGCTGGAGTCAATACCTACGTGATGCTTCCGTGCACTTACGCAGGGCTTTGCATAAAGGGACGAAGATTAAGATGGTCCTGATGCTGAAGGATTACTCTTCTATGCTCCTGTTAACGGAATGGAATAGGTAGCATAAAGTTTAGATTTAGACTGCTTTTGAATTAGCATTCTACAAATAGAGTACTCCTACACCCCTGATAAATAAGATGTTGAACTATACAGATGAAACCTATGAAAACCTGTTTGTATCTATAGCTTAATATCTTATAATGAGGGCTTGTATAAGTTTATATAAGCTCATGTAAGCATATGAGGGCTTATGATACCTTAGCCCTCATAAGATACATGAAGTACCATCATCATCATCTAGTCAGGCATGTTTATAACAAAGTCATAGGACTCCTCTGAACTAATTCCTGTTTCAAGGCCAGGAGCTGTGGTTGGACTTAGAGGCTTTGTACGTGTATCACAAGATGCAGAAACCCTCTCCCACTACCCAAACACACAAATTTGGAAGCAGCCCCCCTCCCACCTGTGAGTGAATTGAAGACCTTCATTTACGGAAAACTGGCTTGCCTCTGCCCTCAAAGAAGTCAGATACTGTTGCCATATCAACAGAAATGGTGGTGCTGATGATGTCAGTTTGGGACCTCCTAAATTAAAGTGTATCTTTTAGAAGAAAAGTAATTTACAGTTCCCCCTCAGGAATCAACTGTAACTTGACAAGTTGTCTGGTGTGTTTTATTGATAATTGCCTTTGCTCTTTTTCAGTGCACTATATACCTACTTTAATTTTTCTGGCTTCCAGTCCCTGGTTTTGGTTGTATCTGTATTACCAGGATTCAGTTCCTCTTAATGTAGGCTATCACAGGGTATCACTTCTGTAAGCTAAATGACTCTCTTTGCCTCTTGCTGTACAGCAGTTGGTTTTGCATCACTAAGCTGTAACGCTTGAGCATGACTTGGGAATGGTGCACTAGAGATGGGCAGAGTATTCCAGCAGTGGTCACCAAAGTGTCAAACACCAAACTAAACACACTTTCACCTTCTGCTGAGTGTTACTTTCTTGGTACATTCAAGGATTGCACCAAGTATTGTCATCAGCATGCTGGTGCAGAGCTCTTGTTCCGAAATTCAGAGCCGTCCCAGGTCTCTAGGGTCCTTCTGCCAAGAGTACGATCTGCAACCACAGCCTCTGCTCACTGTTCTGCAGCGTGTGCTCCTCTGTTTGGATGCACTCACACACACAGCTAATTGCACCCAGCTTACTAAGCAATGCAGTGGCATAAATACTCCACGAAGCTTTTGTCTTACTGATTTTATGACTTTGCTGTCATGATCTTTATGTCATGTTTTGTACTCTCCAAAATTAGCGTTCTACTGAATTTATATCCTTCCCTATAAACTTTTCTTACTACATTTGTTTTGTGCCCTCTGTGTGTGTGTTACTATGAATGTATTTGTAAGCATATTCACTTTCCTTTTAATCTGGCTGCCGCTGTCGGAGGGGGGTCCCTTTTTAATCAGTGTTCCATCTTTCATTTTTGATTTGTGTCTCCTAGGTTGGTTTGGTTGTTTGGTGTTTTGTTTTGTGGGTTGTTTTTTTTTCTAAAAGTTTCCTGTTATCATCTTTCCTTTTGAATAATTTCTTTCTGGAGTGATTAACTTCAGGTTTCTGAAGTTGTTCCTTTCCGAGTATTTTATGTTTTATTGATGTTTCCCTGTTAATGCATGACACACTTATAAGCATGTGATCACCAAAACAGCTGTTGAGATCTAGGATAAATTTCCTTGCAGCTGTCAAGTTGGCTGTAAGAGTGTTCCTCAAGCAGTGGTTTTTCAATTTAAGAATTGTCTCAAATTTTTTCAGTTTGGTAGCTTGGAAATACCACCAATGTTACAATTTTATTAACAGAGAAGGGAATGCTCTGCATCCACTTTCAGAATGACCTTACTTCTACAGTCACCAATTTCTTATTTTATGCTGCTGCTTCTTAAATCTGGAGCATCTGGATTTATTTAGCATCTGTCCGAGAGGAAAACTTAGTTATGGACTACTTAAATAAACTGAGCATATACAGGTCTGTGGGGCCTGACAGGAAATATTCTGAGTGTACTGAGGAAGTTGGTTGATGTTATTGCAAGGCTGCTTTCTATCATCCTTTGAAAGGTTATGATCATTGGGAGAGGTCCTTAATAATTGGAAAAATACTGCAACCATCTTCAGAAAAATTGAGGAGGATCTCTGGGAGCACAGGGCAGTCAGCTTCACCCCAGTCTCTGCGGAAGACTATAAAGCATGTCCTTACGGATGCCGTTTCCAAGCACATGGAGGGCAAGAAGTCATCAGGAACAGCTATCATAGATTTACCAAGGGCAAATTGTTTTTCTACCAACCAGATAACTTTTCTGTTTGAGATGCCTAGCTCTGTGAACAAGGGGAGAGCAAAAGGTTGTTGTTTTACTGTGACTTAGTAAGGCTTTCAACACAATCTCCCATAGTATCCTTATAGCCAAATTTGAGAGATGTGACCTGGACAGGTAGACTACCAGGTGGATGACAAACTGACTGGACCATTGGGCTCAAAGGGTTGATAGCTCGTCTGAGTGGCAGCCAGGCACAAGTGGCATTCCTTGGGGACTGATACTGTTCAATGCCTTCATCAGCGACATGGACATTGGGACAAAATACACCTTTGTCATTTTTGGGGATGATGCCAAATTTGAGGAGTGTTCACATGTTGGACGGGCAGGGCTGCTGTTCAGAGGGACCTCAACAGGGAGGAATGGGCTGACAGAAACGTCAGGAAGTTGAGAAAAGGCAAATCCAAAGTTGTGCACCTGGTGTTGAGCAGCCCCTGCAGTGGTACAGTCTGGGGATGGGTGGCCTGGGGAGCAGCTCTGCAGAAAAGGAGCTGGGGAAGTTGAGAGCAAACTCAATGTCAGTCAGTGGTGTGTCTCTGCAGTAATGAAGGCTTCACTTCTTGCTAGCGTGTTAGGAAGAGCATAGCTGACAACTTGGGTTATTCCCCTCTTCCTTTCAGACACATGGTTAAAAAGGGGGCTGGGGGGGGCTTGGCAAAGAGAGGGAAGGAGGGGGAAAACAAAAAAGTAGGATGGCGTCAGACCTTTCCCAGATCACATGCTGTATGCATTAGAGGAAATCATGATGAGATGGCAGAGAAAAACAACACGAGACTGGTTATGCATGGAAAAGGTTGCATGGAGAGGTTGTGGAATCTCTGTTGAAGATTTTCGCAACTGCAAACGGACAAGACTGTGCAACCACCTCTAACTGGGAAGTTAGCTCTACTATATACAGAAGTTGGCCTAGATGATATCCAGAGGTGGTTTACAACCTAAATCTGTTCTGTGATTCTGAGAGTATGCTGCTGTCTTCCACCCACCTGCATTAACGCGATTTCAAACTGATCTTAGCCAGACAGCAGCAACCACTAGTTTTATTGTTCTTTCACAGGGATTTGTAGGAATTAAGTAGTTAACTTCCCAGACTAGGATTACTGCACGTAAAACACACACTGCTCAAGTTAAATGTCTCTCAGTTAAAACTCACCTTAGTTAGCAAAGAGATGATCATAGTGCTCTTTCTGAAGTCTCTATGAGCAAGTGAAGAGGAACAGAGCATGCTGAGTGGCACCTACTGATGTCGGAAGACTTCTACAGTTAGAAGAAAAGGTCAAGTCTTGACTAAAATGAGATGATACGGCTTTTGGAAGTGCCTTCCATAGTTCACTGGTTTTAGATCTGTGCAAACTTGTAAGCAATCACCTGGCTTCTCACAAAGAAGGGGGGAATCCTTGGCAATGGGAGTGTGACCTCTTTTAGCCTTTTCCAGGCAATTACTGGTGAGAACTATCCCAAAGACTGTTTGTTTTCACAGTACCACTGTGATCTCTTGTGTGCTGCTGCAGAGGAAAGAACAGCAGCTACAATTTTTACTTTGATGTCAACATTAGCTACCTTACTTGCTCTTGATGAAGGGAGGCTGCTGATGCTTCAGGAACTAGCGTTGGGTGTTCACAAATTTAGGACAATTGTACTAAAACTGTATTTGGTTGTATATATTAAAAATGTTTCACAGGTACAGTTCTTATTTGACAACAAAAATTTAACTCTGCTAGAACATGTTAGCCATGCACAACAGAAGCATTTGTGAATGTGCAAAGGAGAAGAGAAAAAAACTGATGGCAGTGCTAATTTCTTCCTTTTTCATGGTTAAGAGGACATTTCCATGATGAAGCAAAGTCAGTCTTTTACTCTTTCTGAGGGTAGTGGAAATGGATCCAAATTTCTGGAGGCCAAAGTGGGTCAAGCCCCTCCAAATACCTCACTTTGTGAATTAGTGTAGTTGTCATGGGCGGGCAACAATTTCAAGGCTATCAGTTTATACAGTTAGAACTGATATCAGACTCTAGCCCTCGTTGGTAGGAGTGTAGAATAAAAAATGTAGACTTGATTGGAAAAATCTCTGGAATTACACTAGTGACGCTGAACAGAATCCAACAGTGCTGAAATGGTGTTTCAAGATTATTTGTGCATCTATATATAAATCCAAGTAACTTGAAATAGGAGGGGGAAAATGCCTAAATTTCTCCCAAGATTTTTTTCTTGGTTTGTATTGATCACGGAATTGCCAGACAAAACTTTCTGGTGAATAACTGAAGAAAGATCCAGTATCATAAGTACTTACTATCTTTCTACCTGCTGCCTTTAATTAGGGTTTGATTTCCACGCC